TGATCAATTCAGTTCTCAATTGAAGAAAAATTACCATTATATTAAATAGATGTGTAGATAATTTATCTTCATTCTAAAATTTACTTTTTAAGAAGCCTGATATAAAAAAAAAAGTTGCCAGACATTTTCAATAAGTTGCAGACTCTATGCATTATATTAAAGAGATTTCAAAGGATTGGATTTTCAAATATGCTTCAGTAAACTCGATTAATTCATAAATTTATAACAATTTAATGTCCTTACCTTCTGCAAATGAATGGTATAGGATTATTGATTGACTTCTAAATGATAAAGCTTCAGAACTATCCAAAATTTCAAATGAAATATTAAAACATTTAGAACTGCTTACAAAGAAATGTTTATGGCATATTATTTATAGTTGCTTATAAATTTTCTCAATACCTAACCGCTAGAATTTGGCATATATACCTAATCCTAAAACTAAAACTATGAGAATATAATTTAAATAATACACGTCTAATTACTTTATTAAAATACATTCAGAAAGCATTTGTTCAATTGCTTAATTCAAGACTTACTAACATTTTCATTCAAAATGATATTTTAAAAGAATACAACTTCGCTAGTCTCCCTTTCAAATCTACCTTTGATCTCATTCATATCTTTGACAATATCAAATAAAATGCTTTTTATAATAACACAGAATTGTGGGTCCTCTTACAAGGTATGTCTAAAGTTTATAACTGTGTAAATGTTTTTACTCTTGCAGTAGTTCTTGCAAGATTACACCTTTCTGCTAAATTCATTCACACCATTTTATGTCTATTTTTGTCTAGATTCAACCAAGTCTTCACTGCCTATGGAAATTCTAACACATACCTTGTTCATTCAGGAATAGATTAAAGTAAAGTTATATCACTGCTTTGTAGTATATTTACTATAATCTACTTTTATGTACTATTAATGATTCTTCACATAGTTTCAATATGGAAGTCCAGATGCCTGTCTTCCTATTTCTAATATTTCTCGCTTAAAGATTTCAACCCTCACCTATATAGATGACATTCTCTAGCTCACCAAGTCCAGGAATGACCTAACAAATATTACATCTATTGTAAACAGTTTCTTTACTTTTAACAATATACAAGTTAATTGATCAAAATCAAAACTCCTTATCAACACCTCAAAATAACTTTCTTTCAAAATCTATGATAGTAATAACACGTGATCTATCAATGCTCTTTCTCTAAAAGTTAGTATCAGATACTTAGAAGTTTGGATCTCGCTCAAGTCTAACAAAAAATTTATTTACAATCAAATACATAGTGAAATTAAGAAAGTCATTACTATTATGAAGCACAAATGCCTTACAGATTTACAGCTAATTTATATCTTTAATACTATTCTCCTTCTGAGACTTGAATATAGATCTCAACTCACATTACATCTAAATCACAGTGTAAAAGCTTTGTTGTCACATATTTAACTTTTGTTAAAAGAAAATTAAAACTCTTCAAATACATTCTAACAGACTTATTCCATTCGCATTATTTTTACAATTTGATTTTGCTGTATCAACGACTTGTATAAAATTTCAGCAATACTCTTTTACAAATGTCTAATGAAGCAAATATACTTAGAAAATCCTTTTATCTATGAACCCTTCAACTTCAACAAAAAGAGTGGCTCTTTAAAAATCCTCTTTTTTATTAACCTTTTTTAAAAATATCAAGATCAGATGATTGGCTTTTAACCCTTCTCTGTGCTCTCAATCAAATAAACCTTAAACTTAATATGCTATCAACTTTATTCAACAAAATCATAGGAGGTGATTCACCAATTTCAGTATTTATTTCAAATATTTACAGGAAGCATACTCTTAGTCTAAAAAAATTCTCAATGCTTTATATGAAACAATTGACCAGCTATCAATAAAACTATATGTTTACCTTTTGTGATCTTTATATTATTACTCATTCAATTTCACGGAGTTTTCAAATTCTCAGCTAGTATTCAATTTTAGAAAATCATCTTAATTCTGATCAAGATAGAAGATTATTACCTACCAATACTTATAGATACAAATACTGTACAATTACTCTATCAAACAATATACTTCTTTTCATCAGATCACTAATATTACGATTGGGTAGTATTTCCTATCCAACTTTTTGTCCTAGGAAGAATCACAAGAATTAACAAAGATACAGTTCACTTAATGTATTACATACCTTTAATAGGACCTGATAATATCACAATCCTAAATCTTTGTGAACGTTATCATATTCATTAGGATTTTACTATTAAAATTAGAGGCCATCATGATAATTGTTTTTTCACTCTATCACTCTACCTTATTGCAAAAATTCCTATCATATTTAAAAATGATTGTTGTGATTGAACACATAGCATTCTATCCTATGGTATCCTTTATGAGCTTGCTTTGACTTATTTCTTAGAAAATAATAAAGTTTTTTTGCAACACCCAGAAATTTTTCTCCACTTACCTTTGTTAATTTTTTCAACAAATATTTGTCACCTTCTTATAATTTCTAATTACTAACTCTTTTTCGCTCTTTTGCATCCTCTTTTATTTTAGAATTTAATATAGATAGGTTTTTGAAAGATATAGGTCTTCCTTCAATAATAATGGATCTTGTCTAGCTTCAAACTCACCAGAATTCACCAATAGTTTCTTTCTCTTCTGCTTTTGTATCTTTTTTCCCTTCTTTCTCTGTACCTGAATTTGCTATCATTTTCATTGCTTTACTTATGGCTTCTTCATTTTGTAATGTTACTATTTTCACTGACTCAACCATAATCATTTTCTAATTCAACTATTACAAATTCTTTCTATTGAAAGCTTTCACTGTTCGACCTGCTCTCAAAATTAATAATCACATACATTAGTCTTGTCTTTTAAAAGTAATTGACACTCATAACCTCATTGTCAATATGATTAAAGTCAAAGCTCACACTGAAAAAATTTTTAACAACAAAGTCAACGCTCTAATAAAATCATATTTAGATACTACAGCTCTTCAACTTCATATAATTAATGCTTCTCAATACTATTTCACTTATAATAATACTCTAATTATTATACCCATCAGACAATTTTGCAAAGAATTCTTTCGCAAACACTCTATCTTAAATTTGCTTCAACTTTTTGTCTTATCAAAATACTTACAGATTTATCAAATCAATTGGTTCACTACTTCCTTATATTCAATAACAATATAGCATCACATTATACATTATATACTATTTTCTTTATCTAAAGAATGAAATATCAGCATCTTCTTGAAATGTTGCCAACTTTAGAAATTCTTAAATTATAACATTCATCTTTTTATGACCTTTTATTCTTATGTTTATGATGTGATACTGCTGATAAAAACTTTTATTACATTTGGATGTATCCTACTGTTAATCACAAAATGAAAAATATCATTCTACAATCTAAATTCTATCTAAAAGATATTACCAATGCATATAACTATGAAATTGATCAGTTGAATTATTGGCTGCTCAATAATTATAACACTGCAGAGTTTTTTATTCTTATCTAAGAAATAGTTCCAACATTCCTTTTTAATTTTTTTCTCAAAAAATTTTCATTCCAACTATTAGTTTTAGCTGCTTACTCTTCTTTTATACATCTAATTTTTAAACTCACTCAAAATATTTAGTGTGATCAGTCAACTTGTTCACGATTTTGAAAAATCCCTTAACATTACTTTTGATTCTAAAGCTGTCAATTTTATTACTTCAGGTTATGATCTTTCGTCTAACCCTTCCATTCATTCTTTTAGCTCTCCTCCTATTTTCTCAATAGTATAGATAGGATCCTATTGGTCAAATTTTTAGTGCAGTAGTGGCTTCGTCCTTTTTACTTTACTTTATTTTTTTACTCAAAAGGTGATTTTCTTAACTTGATAAGGTTTTGATTTCAGAGAAGTGCAAGGTCAATCTTCTATAATTTTAATTTTAAAGTATTTCTTTACGAGATTTTTGTAATTTCTTTTGATTTGTACTTTATTTTATATATTTACTTTTATAATAAAGATATTGTGAAACTACCACATTTTAAAAAAAAAAACTCAAATTACCTTATGATCTTTGACGTTATAGAGTCTACTGATCTTAGCAGAATTTTCAGTTTTTGTAACTATATATTTTAGGCACTTTGCTTTTGCCAGCAGATGTAATCTAAATTAACAGATATAATCAATATGAAAGTTTGAGATATCTGAAGAGCCTCCAATAGAACTTAGTGATTATGGCACTCCTATTATGAAAGGTCTCTGTAACCAAAAATTAACCAAGCAATTTTAGTTAGGAACTTATTAGAATTGATTGTCTTTTTTAACCTTTCTTTTTTCAGAAACTAATCTTAGATTTGTTTATTCTGAAGAGTTTAAAATCATGTTAGTTAGAAGATTGATAGTTAATAGTCAGTTGAGATGTCTTGTAATTAGCACGTGATTTGCTATAAATAGCATTTATATATAATAAAAATTCAGTTTTAACTATATTAAAATTCTACTTTCTATTATGATAAGATGTATATAATCATATAATATTACGAAAAAAATTATATCAAATAATAGCATGAGGAGATAATTATTTTTTTTTACTTTTATTTTTCTTAATTATTCTTTTTTTTAAAAGAATCTTACTTTCAAAAGTTTGAAATCATTAAAAGTTATACAATAGAAAATCTCTATATTCATGAGTGTGAATCTAATGTATATATTATTAATGACTTTCTAATGAAAATTATAAAGTAAATAAATTTATAATATTAAAAAAAAAAATTTACTAAAAAATATTCTCTTTCCTTACCCCTTCTTTACTACTTTTTAACATTCTTTATCGCTTCTTTACTTTTTTTACTGCTTTCTTACTTTCCTTTACCCCTTTCTATTCTACCATTCTTATCTCTCAAATTTCAAAAAAAGAATAACTGTCAAAATGAATATGATAATGCATATTCTGAATTTTTTGAGATAGATAGTGATGGTGAAGATTTCATAATGAAGTTCAATAATGATAGTTATTTGCAAGTATTAAGTTCTTTGGATAAAGAACAAGATAATTTTATTCTATAAAATAATGCTGAAGAAGAGGATACAGATTTAGAATAAGAAGTGTGTCAAAAAAAAAGAACTTTCATGAATAATAAGAGCAGATTCTAATAAAAAATTAACATCTTGTGTATTAATAAACAATATTGATGGCAAGATTCAAATATGTGATGCAAAAAATTGCAATAAAAAGTTGCATAAATAACAGATCTTTGGCAAATTAATAACGAAGTTATTAATCAAGTTAATAATGATCTATCCAGATTGGGAGTATATATGTTTTACTTTAATTTTGACCAAAAAATGTATAATAAAAAATTTAAATCAAATAAAAGTATTAAGAAAAGTCATATTTAATATTGGCAATATTTATTTTGCTATCATAATTATTATTATTTTACACAAGGGTCAAGTTGTAAGCAACATTCTTAGAATATTTTGGATTGAGTAATATTAACATCATATATCGAGCAAATTAATTATAAAACATTAAAAGAATATGATGATATATGTAAAATAGCTTTAAAAAATATACATAGACTATGATTTATATGTGCTACATGTTTTACACAAAATGGTGGACACCTTTATATTAAACCTGAAAAAGAGAAAAAAGCAGTGAATTGTGATAAACAACATATAGCCAATAATTCAGAATAATATGAAATGATTGGCAAATAATTAGTTATAATAGGAATATATGGTAAAAATAAAATTCAAAGTTTAATTTTATCTACAGTTGCACCTTTAATATTTCAAATATTGAAAGATATAAAATCTTCTCCTACATTTACCTTAAAATCAACTGTATAAACATCAGATTTATCTATTCCTAGTTTGCTTCATCTTCAAATTGCTTTTCAACTAAAAAAATCAATAGCAATTCTATTTTGTTAGAGGAATTGGATGAACAATATTGCAAAAATTTAGGAGAAATATTTGCTAATAAGCTTTGAAAATCCTAAAAAGAACTTGATATGTCTCGTGAATTATTATGGAATTCACTAACCCTTAATGATTATGTAAATGCCTTTTCAACATAGTTGAAAGATTTTTTTTATAGTCTGTTAAATGTTATATACAAAAAAAAATGATAATAGTAAATAAAAAATAATGTCAAAGAAATAAACAAATTAAACCTAGTGATTCAACACGAATTACTAAAATTGTTTTCTTGTTTTTTTCAATTTTAATTTCTATAGCATTTCCTTTAATTCAAGTTTGGTTTTTTCAAATAGTAACTAGTTTGACCAGAAAACTAAAATTGATAACAGACCTAACAAAACTTCTTGCAGTTTTAAAAATTATATCTTATAGTAATAATTATGAACACATATTAGAAAAAAAGAGAATAAATCAAATTAATCCTACAGAAAGACTTAAACAAGATCTAAATATTTGGAACCTTGCTGTTATAAACAATATAGATTTTAAACAGAAAACTTTACTTATGTTAATATTTTTGAGAAACATCATATACAACACTTTAGATAGCTTTTCAAACTGAATTACCTAATTCAATTAATGAAACAAAAGATGATGAAAATGAATTAGTAATAAATCAAGTTTTTGGAATAAATGATGAAGCACATCAAATTTTGGATTGTTTTGATAAAATATTTGATGAATGCTTAGCTTTTTATTATTCAAATGGTGAACTTCAATATATGATAGATTTTGATGCATCTATAATACATGATAAAATTTTGAAAAAATTAGCTCATGGATATTTTAGTTACTCTTCATATGTGGTAATTTTAGAAGCTGGTAGAATTCTAAATAATAATGAAGGGATCTATCAATCAGCAAAAATGTATAAAAGTGATTTTTTTTTAGATTCTGATAATTATTTAGATATTGTTACTGATGAATCTATTTATTGACATTTAATAAATTTACGATAAAAATGGCCAAATCTATATTTAATACTTAGATAGTAATATATAAATAAAGATATGGCATCAGCCCTTATTACAATATTTCAAGTTATGAAATCCTTGATTTGTATATTGCAATAGGTGTTAAATTCTTAAATAAATTTGAAAGTATAATAGATTATTGATCTACAGTAAAAACTATAGAGCTATATAGGTTGCAGTAAGCATTACATTATGAATTTATTTAAAATCAAAAAATTTGCATAAGAATAATATATTGGATGAAAATTTTGAAGAATATCAAGTGCTTAAAGTTTGGTATTTGTTTTACCATTAGGCTGAACTTTTTCTTGCGTATAAAGCTAGAATTCAAATTGAAAACTTTAATATTTAGAAGTATACTTTATCAGCATTTGCTTCTCTTATTCCATCAGCTGGAAAATTAAATTATGTACAATTAATAGCACACTTTATTGGAATTCTTGAAAGATATCTAAACTTAGAAGAAAAACTACAATTGGTATCATCTTTTAAGATTTTAGAAGAAAAATGAGGTTATTTTCTTGCATTTAATGAGATATTAAAGACCTTTGGTGTAAAATTCATCAAACAAAACATAATCGGAAATATTATAGATTCTGAAAATCTTAAGCTTCAAGTGAAAGCTGCACAAACAAAATATGAACGAATTGAAGTATTACTTAATGAATATTTAAATAATATCACAATATCTAATTATAATCAATCTGTAGATGCACAAAAAGATTCTACATAGATTCTTGTAAATAAACTATTAGAAGCTTTTAACATATATATAATAATTTCTTTTTTTATATAATTTATATTTTAATAATTATTATTTTTTAAATAATATTTATTTTAATTATTAAGGCACATCATTATAATATATTTAATCAAATTAATGATCTTTTTCATATAACTTATCCTAAAGAGATGCATGCAGAAGGAATTAAATGATTAAAAGAATATTATAGATGAGGTTTGTATCATATAAAACTAATATATAATCAGAAAGTATTAAAACAGAAACAATTAATACTGTTAGACAGAGGTAAAAGAAATAGTGGTAACAAAATATAAAGATATCCAGATAGAAAAAAGGAATAAAAGGAAAAGGGCAGTTGAAGATACTAATAGTATTAAAATATTGAACCCACAACAAGAATCTCTATTAAATGATAAAGTAAAGCATCTTTCAAGAAATAAAACGTCAAATACCATCAAAAGAAGCAATTCAAATTCTTTTGCCAATAGTCAAACATTCTAATCCACCTATAGATGAAAAAATACAAAATTATTTGGATGTTTTAGCAAAAATATATTATCTTCTGATATTTGAGATAAACATTGAATTATTTAACATTATAAAAATTGGCATAAGAAAGGTATTACTAATAGAGAAGAAGAAGAATAAGATAGTAGACAATTAAATAGCAATTAATAAAACTTTTGTTTAAAAATAATGATATTTTAATTTTTTTTTTACTAATAATTAATTAGGCTGTAAAATGAAATTCTACTCATATTTTCACTTGTAATAAATAAATATTTTTGTTTTTAATTTTTTTTGTAACTAAGGTTCACATTACATCACTAGATACTTATAAAATTTTAACAATTGGTAAAAAAGAAGAATCCTTCTCAAATATACTAAATTTAATACTTACTTTATAAGCTTATAATTTGTTTGTTAATAATTCAAAATATAAATAATCTGCTAATATTGTAATTTGAAGCTTGAAGAATAAAGTTATTAAGTATTATATTCATTTGTAAATTATATGTTAAATGGTTAAAAAAAGAAGTTACATAAAATAAGATTACACAACATTTATAATTAAGAATTAGCAGTTAATGGAACATTTCGACTGCCTGATATATAGTGTGACTATATAGAGATTTAACTATATAGGGTCTTTGCAATAGAAAGGGAAGAAACTCCAAAAAAATTAAAATTTTAGTTTATAAGCCAAAAATGTTCTAAATACTATAATTTGTTCAGATTTATTATTAACTCATTTTTTATTTTTTTTTGAGTTTCTTCCCTTTCTATTGTAAAGGCCTCATATATTAAAAAATATATTATTTAATATTTATTAATTTTAATTTAAATATTTTATTATAAATATATAATCAAAAAATATTGTTAATTAATATTATAAATAATAATTATTCATATAGTAACCAAAATGTAATAAATAGTATTTTATTTAAAAATTCTAAATTTTTAGAATTTATACAATGCATATAACCTAGTCTCAACCATTAAATTTTAATAAAATTCAAATTACTACTTCTTACTCAAAAAAAATGATAAACATAAAATATAATTGTAGAATGGTAGAGCAGCTCAAACTCAACAAAATTATGATTTTAGATTTTCTATAAAATGATTTTCAATGGAGTAGTAATAATTCAAAGTTGAGACATTTTACTAATAAATCAGATATTTTGACCACCCTACACGTAATACACGTGATTAATATACCATTATTGATTAGTTAATTTATGCTCAAACACATTAAGTTAGATTAGATTGATCATATTTTAGTGTAACTAAATTGAGAATAAAATAATATATTGTCTCCTATTCTGTTTTTTATAAACGAATTATTTTATTTTTAAATTCAAAATATAAGCCTTAATATTTAAACGATGCATTTCTCTTTTTTATTTATTTGAAAAAAGATAAAATAGATATTCAAATAAGATAAGTATTCTAATTTTTAAGCAGTTTACTCTAATTGCTACTGTTGCATTCACATCATTTACACAATCATTAATATTCTTTTTATTTGCCTATAGATAATATGAGTAAATATGCATCAAATGAAACTTTTATTCTAAATATTAATTGATTGTAAAACTGAATCAGAAACCCGGTGATGTAAACAGTATTTTTTAACTGCAAATCCTGCTGCCTGGTCTGTTAAGCTTTTTCAGTATATGTTCATATAGCGAAATGCTTTTCTTGCATACTGATAAATAGTTGTAAGTAAAATAGAAGTAAGAGCCAATAAAACAGTTCTTTGTAATCCTATTTATGAGTAATTGCAATATGATCGGCTAAATTTTTTAGCTGCATCTTAAAAGTTTTCAATATAATTAAGCTCACAATAAAACTTGGAATAGAATATAATTTGATGTCTAGCTGTAACAATAACCTCTTCTAGTCGTCTTTTTTGTTTTAAAAAGTCTGGTTGTTAACTCATTACTTCTCACGCTTCTTCTAATTTTAATCCTTTATTTGACCATAATCCTTTTTACATCAGAATTTACTTTAATCCTTTTGGCTGTTCACGTAATTTAGTAATATGATAATCTAATAGGAAGACTATGTTTTGTCGAATCCCTTTACCAAAATTTGTGCTGTGCATTTTTTGCTATTTTTCACTAAGGCTAAGATTCATATGCTTGGCGATAAGCGTGTTTAGAGAAAAAATAGTGTGACTTAATGCATTGTCAAATGCAAACAAAATCTAGTATCCTGGAAAGCGTGCTTCAAATATGAGAATAGCATGTTCAACTACTTGTTTTACTAAGTCATCAGCTTTTTAATATCCATCGTTATTTTTGCTTAGATGCATAATAACACAAGCTTCTCTAGAAAAGTTATCTGATATCTGCATTTCGTCAGAAAGTGCAAGATGATCACAAACATCAGTCAAAAATCACTAACAATAATTGAGCGACCATTACCTTTTTTTCGTAAGGGTTGTTCATTATCAGGAATCTAAAGGCCCTGACTTCCATCATAAGCTGAAAAAATACACTCGTCATGTATAATAAGGATAAGTCTTTGTATATTATTGTCTAACCAGATTATTTTTTCCAAATTGTCTTCTGAAAAGATAAGCATTTTATGTTCAAAATTATTCATCTGTTCTAAAAATATTTTCCTATAGGCCATTACATCTTCTCTCTTATGTTTATCTATATATATACCCTTTTTTACATCAGCATATTTATATTTAAGTTCTTTTAAATAGTTTCTCATAGTATTAATATGAATGATTGAGGGTGACGCAAATCCAAGTTCTGGTAAAATAATTTTGTTCATTTGCATCATTAGCAACTGTGAAGTAACATTCCACTTATACTCTTAAACATATATTTTTACTTTATGAAGAATGTCCTTATCCTAGAAAAAGCTTCATGATATTCTCAATGGGAGTAGAAAATTTTGTGGATCATTATATATTTACATGCCTAAGAACGAATGCATTTAGTATGGTATATTCCTTTTCTTATCACATTAGCAATTACCTCGCTTGCTTTCATTTTCAAATAGTTATATTTTACAAGTTAAAAATAAAGATAAATGCCATTTAGGCGTACCTAAACCTCACTATTAACCTTTTCTTTTTTGATATTTAATTCCAAATTTTTGAGAGCATCTAGAATTTTATTATGCCAGTTGTAACCTTCATCTTATTATCTGAATGTTCATTAACCTCATCATCCAAATCTTCATTAGCATCATTATCCACTTCTATATTATCCTTATCGGCCACCTTCTTGTTAATTTTCTCATTAGGTTTCTTAACCTCCTAAAAGGTATGTAACTTAAGAGTCCCTTTTGCTGCCTCACGCTATTGCTGATTTTCTATCTTTTAGTGCGTTTTGAATTTCCTATATAACGTAGTCTATATGCTTCATGAAAGTATATTCTTAGTGATATTTTTTTGTTGTTTCTTAAAGTTTTCTTACAATACTTGCAGCATTATTATTTTTTTCTAGCTTATTATGAATAACAATATCGTCATCATTATCATAACCATCCTGTTCATTATGAAAATTAACTTGTATGCTTTTATTTATAGCCTTTGTTTTATAAGCCTTTCTTGATTGTTTTTGACGTTTTGTTAGACGTGGTATGTTAGTAAATTGGAAGTCTTCTCTAATGAAATCTAGCTAACAAATGATAGAGTATAAACTATACAGGTAAATTAACTGCTTTATTATTTAATATTGATTCTTTTTTTTAAAAAAAAATTCTTCTAATTACAATATGCAAAGCAAGAAATTTTTTATTTGTTGTATGAGAAAGGAAAACTGATCATGATTAGGATATGTATTTAAACTATTGTAATTGATTGATTATATTCAGATTACTGCATTAAATCAGATTAATGCGGTTTAGAATTTGCAATAATAAAATTACCTAATATTTGTTAACATTTTCAAATTTTCAGTTTATTTAACTAATGATCAATAAAAAAAATTCTTTTTATTTTTAACACTTGTTACAATTTATATATGTACTTGATTTAATGTTGATACTAAAAATCAAAAAACTTTAAATGCTTTATTAAATTAAAATTTCTATCACGCTTATCACGCTTATCATGTGTATATGAATCAATAAAATTTTAAGGTTACCATATCACATGATAGAAGATCAATATCTCAAATTTAGTCGTTTAAAAAATTTTTAGTTAGAACTAGATTGTATGCATTGTAGTAAAATAAAATATTAAAATTGTGAATTAAAATCTATAAAATTTATGAAAATTAAGTTTTAACATTCTGATTTTTAATTATTAAGGATTAATTAGTTTTAGTTTCATTAAATAACTAAATATTTCAGTTTTACTCAGTATTATTAATTACAGTAATAAATATTAAGGATAGTTTCAAAATATTTTTATCATTAAATTATTATTTTACATAGTTTTTTTTATTTTTTTGCTTATATTTTAATAGAAAATTAATCAGTAGATTTTGATAATATTTTTATTATGTTTTTTTTACAAAATTATATTAGATTTTTATTATTAGTAAATTTTAATATTTAATAAATTTAATAAATAATAATATATTGATTTTATATATTTATTTAATAGAATTAAGGCTAATTTTAGGTTGATTTATAATTATTTAAATTTTGAATTAATACTAAATTAATACTAAATTAAGGTTAATTTTAGTCTGATTTATAATTGTTTAAGTTTTGAATTAATGCTAAATTGCTTGTTTAATTAAAATTAATTAACAGTATTTTAAATTGATTTATAATTGAATTTAAGGAATTGATGTTAAATCAATATTAATTTAAGGTCTATTTTAAGCTGATTAATAGTTTAATTTAATTTTTAAATTGATATTAAATGGTTATGTCTGATTGGAGTCAATTAGTGATGATTATGCTAATTAAAAAACACAATCAATTGGTTGTAAATAGTATTAAAATTAACCTAAATTTAGCCATTTGATTTTTAGCTGATTTGAACTATTTTAACTAATGAATAAGAATAATTTTAATAAAAAAATCATTATAAAAATTTTAAAATATTATTTATATAATTTTAGTATAAAAATAATTTTAATGTTTTTTTTATAATTATAATTATTTTTATATGATTATATATTTGTTAAATTATTTAAAAATTCTAAATAAGATTATAAAATTTATAATAAAACTATTTTATAATAAATTATTTTAGATTTTAAATAAACTATTATAAAATTCTTTTAAAAACAGTTATATAAATAATTTGAATATTACTTTTTTTTAAAAAATTAGATAAACATATAATTAATAATATTACTTATATTTATTTATAATTATTAGAAATTTAATTAGAAATTTATTCTGTATATATATTAAAAAAAATCAATATTTTATTTAAAAAATATACATTATCTTACTATAAATTACCTAATTTTATAAAAAAGTAATATTATATAAAATCTGTTAAGTTTAATATAATTTTTTATTTAAAAGCAAATCAATTAAAATAAGTTATTTTTTAAAATGTTAAAACATGTTATATATAAAGTAATATACAAAATAATTTTATACAAAAGAATTGAAAAATATTATTATTAATATTTTTAAAGTTAGTATATTTTAATAATTAGAAACTATAAATGATTTTGAAAAAATTTATTAAAATTTAAACAATTTAATTTCAATATATCTTATTAAGTAATTTTTAATAATTTATAGTAAGGTAGTATATATAATCAAACGTTTTTTATTAATTAAGATTAATTAGATATTTTGATTTGGTAAAAAATTTTTAAGTATTAAATAAATCATAATTTTTTCGAACAATAATAAAGTAAAATCCTATTATATACAAATATCCTTAATTAGAATATAATAAACTGATTAAATGAAAACAATTTATCCATATATAGTATACTTTCATAATTGATCGCCTAGAATTTTTTGTGCTACTAAATCCATTCAAATTTCAAAATTCAATATTCATATGACCAAAATAAAATGAAAAAAAAAAAATGACAAAATGCGTAAACAATTAAAAACTTGTTTTTTGACAATTTTTTTCTTCCCATCTATTTTTTTTAAAAAAAAAAAATCTCAAATGTATGCATTAATTTATCCATTCGCACCAACGCCCGATTGGATGTCAAGCTTTATGTTAACTTTTCTTCGCGCAGATATAAACAAATAAATTTTTGCATCACGGTTAATTTAAAAAGGTTATGCATTCGGAGTAAAAGAAAAAAAGAATGTCTTTATTTGGAGAATAAAGCCCAAAATTAAATGAATTTTTCATGTCATCTGATATAAAGGAGCCAAAAACTTTTTTATGAAACGAATCAAAATTGAATAATGATTTACCTTACATAAGAGAAAATTTTTTATAAACAACAATCATCCCTTAATTTTTGTATTTTTAGAATGAGGATAAAAATTTGCACAGATCGTTGTTTAGCGGAAAAAATTGAATTGAGGTACATATTTGTTTTTAGTGCGGTAAAAAGAAATAATACATCAAGCATGACCCAATGACCTTTATTTTTCCTTAATTTTTGTTTATATTATTAATGCATAAATTATTTCCGCAGTAAATTTTTTTTAAAAAAAAAAACGCACACTGAGCACCACTCACGAGTAATTTAATATTCGTACTACCTTTTGGTTTAATTGTTTGCACTTTTGAATTAAATTATGTACGAATCCATTGGAAATTAATTAGAGGCGCAGTCGACATTCGGTTATGATAAAGTCGGGGTGGATTTTCCTTATCATTTAATGTGCAAATTATTTCCTGATTTCATAAAAACCAAGGAGGAAATAAAGAAATCCTTTGTATAATACGAATCATAAATACAACTTACTGCGCCTGATGTTCCATGTTAAAAATGCTTGTGTAATATTTTCCCGCCAAAAAAAATTTAATCGATAAATAAAACTGCAAAGAATAAATATTGGACTTCAGACTCCGGAGCTTTTTTCTAAATAATCACTACCATATAAATGTGTATAAATTATGAGTCATTTGGCATAGCTTTTCGATATAATTGGTATATTCTGAAAATATGACTCATTAACTCGGAGTTTGATCTGCAACATTCAAGAAATGTGTTTTTCTTTGTTATTTATGCATATGTAAAGTTAAGTTAGATTGATCAGTCAATCTCACTCTCGCCGCTTTCAAAGTTCATGATATCAATCCATCATTTATCAGTTATTATATAAAGTTTATCATCTAAAAAAACGCCGATATAACCGATATATATATATATATAACCAATACCCGCCAAACTCCGCCACTCTCGATGTGCAAATTTATTCATTTAGTATGATTGATAAAATCAATATCACATTTTTAAATTAGCTTTCTCCTTGATCAACTTTTTTGAGCAACGAGAAACAAAAAAAAAAAAATTTTTATTTGTCAATTTATCATCGTCAACTGCATCTTGGAATTGCCACACAAGCTTGCAAACTCACCATAACTTAACGCAGGGATAGTTTCTTTTTTTAGGTTTAACAGTTCGGTTACACACGCCCGAGCATTCCATTTTGTCATCCCATTCAAAGGTTAGATAGTCACTCAACATTTAGTTTACATCGTTTCAAAGTGAAAAAAAAAGATAACCCTTACCCTGCACCTGTCTGTCTTTCACTCGTTTGATACTTTCTCTCACCCCAATATTTGCAACAAAAAAAAAAGCCTTTATTTTTAGGTTTTTTTTGTCTTCTTTTTTTTAATACCAAAAAAATTTAATATTTGTTAATATAATATCTTTTCCAAAAACAACCTTTTAAAAACAAGCTACAAAAAAGAAAAAAAAATTAACCTTAAAAACTGCATAAAACTATAAATAAAATAAAAAAAAAAAAAAGAAAAAAAAAGAGGGAAAAATAAATTAGATACCAAAAATAATAAAACGCGTATGTTGACAACTCTATAACTACCAAAACAGTAATTTTCGCAATGCAAGCAAGTTCACTCCCAAACCCTCCTCCTCCGATTCTTGCCCAAATATATCCGAGACTAGATAGCAGAATAGATAGCAACTTTCTTAATATACCTTCAATCGTAACATCTCCTTCCATACCTACCTCAGTGTCCGAATCTTTCCTGTTCAACTATCAACAAGAACCCTTGAATAGTCCTATTTCCCAGGCAATATCAGCACCGGTCACTCCCACAAATAGTGTGACTCCTGGTTTCTCTCAGCCACCCAGAAGAGGTAAAGGAAATCAAAATGGTAGTAACTCTTCCAACGACGGAAAGTCCAACTCAAAAAGTAAGCTCTTAAGATTTTAAATTTATATATATAATTCCTCGATGGATTAAAAAGTAGAGTCATACGCAATCAATCATTAAAAATTATTTCAGGCATAAACTACTTCACGAGTTAAAACTATTGAATGACTAATTAATTTATACTTTTAATTTGCTATCGACTTTGATCCAACCAAAATAATTTTAAAATCTTTTTTTTCCTTTCTTCCTGTTTGTTCATCCAAAAAACATGACTCTAGGCAATAGTAATTTAGCGCATATTCCTTGCAAATTTTTCAAGAGTGGTGCCTGCACGGCAGGGAAAAATTGTGTCTTCTCTCATAGCAAGGATCCTCCATCTGATAATTACGTTTGTAAATACTTTTTAAAAGGGAACTGCAAATTTGGAAATAAATGTGCTCTTTCCCATACTTTACCAAATGAACGTAAATCAAGTTCAAATGGTAGAACTAGCGGCAGTAGCAAAAATGTTAATGGATCAAGGAGTAGTATTCCAAACAGTATGATTCAAGAAATTAGGTCACCTATAATGCTTCCGCAAGGATACAGCCAAGATCTTAATGATTTTCAACCTCTTAATTCTCCTGGAATTCCTTTCACGCGTATTCCTATCAGTCCTGAATATGCGAGCAGCCACAGACAATTCAGCCAGTTGACAGCTTCACTGAATGATTCAGCTGCTTTTTCTGACGAGAATCATACCGCACCAAGATTACGTAACATCAATACAAGTTTCAACAATGATCATTTATCCGCACCAATAAATATTAACGGCCAACAACGAAGATCACTTCCTGATATCTTTCATTTTGGTCCAGTAAATAACAATAACAATAACAATAACAATAATAATAACAATAATAATAATAATAATAATGCCGAATCTTTTGGAACCTCTCCATTTCATAATCCTGGCAGTAAATCAATATTTTTACCACTTTCTTATGTCAGTGATAGTGGAATGCTTTCACCTACCGCCAATACTCATCAACATCTTCATAGCATTCCTGAACTTCATGATTACCCACATCATGAAGAAGCCATCTTTGAAGATTTTAGTGCATATGAATATGAAGAACTTCTTCCCTCCTCGTTAAATGATTTGTTAACTCCAACTGAACGTGAGAGACGTCGAAGTAGGCAGGAAGAATCTTCAGAAATAAGTCCTAGGAGATTATTCAATAGTTCTTCATCTGTGATGCATCCTGTGCACATGGACAGTCAGCATCTTAATTATTATAACTCACATGCTGATCCTACACATATACATTTTGCAGGAAGATCTCTGCCCGCTAATTATATGAATCAAAATGAAGGACAACAAGTTAATAATGGATACAATAGACAACATCTGTTTGGATTTCCTGGCATGAGAAATGTTTCAATTAATAACAATTATGGCGAAGATTGGAATGATCAGCTGTCCCCTCTTAGTCCATTAGTTTCTATTCACAATCAAAATCATCATCGTTTTAGTAATAACAATAACAATAGTCCTTCAGGTTATTCGTCCGATCATCATGGTACTCCAGCTATCAACATTCCCTTACCTCACGAATTTCATCAAACTGGTGCAAACTCACCTATGTATCCTGGCATTATAGGCCGACCAAATGGAAATAACAATGTCAACGGAAATAGTGGTAATAACAGTAATACCGGTGATCGTCCAACTACTCCAGATCCATTTAGTCCTTTTGGAACTGACGACGATGTTTTCGTCTTCTTTAACATGGAAGAAGATAAAAATGACCAAGTGCAAACAGAATCATCACCTTCTAAATCATCTGAACAATTGAAAACCCCACTATCATATTCCGCAATTACCAAAACGGGTTTGAAGGATTCTGGTGCAACTCCCGGACTCAGTATCGACTCGAGGCGTTATGAGCCGGTTTGTTGATATAAATATATATATATGTAATTTCAAAAAAAAAAAAAAAAAAAAAAGAAAAAAAAACTTTCCTAATGGGAAGTTCATATGTATCATAATATTTTCAATTATTAGTGAACTATATATATTTTTTTATTTTTTTTTAAAAAAAAAAAATAAAAAAAAAAAAATAAAAAATTGGATACAAAAAAAAAATCGGTTATTTTTGGGGAGGGGCGATTTATATATCTTTTTTATTCTTTGTATTGAAAGAAAACAAAATAAAATTATAATAATATTATTTTTTTTGTGCTTAATTATACAATGGGAAATAATACCCTTTCTCTTTTACGTTTGTATTTTTTTTTTCTCTTTATCTATTGTTTTGGCTTAATTCATAGTTATGCCCCTTCGGAATTTCTGGAAACTGTCGATATGGAGATCGATGTCATTATCTTCATGGTATGCCTTGTCCTTCTTGTCTTAAACATGTTCTGCATCCTTATCATAGTTCTGAAGAACATCAAGGTAAGTCAAATTGGTTTAAAAAAAATCTTTTTTATTTGGTAAAAAATCTAAATTTAATTCATTTTTAGAACACATTAACGAATGTATTAACAAGCAAATCCAAGTTGCTGATGGTGTTAGACCAGAAGATCTTAAATGTGGAATTTGCCTTGAAAAAGTATTATCAAAAGAAGATGCTCGTTTCGGTCTATTGAGTAAGTATCATCGGCGAATATAATGATGCTATCTGACAAATTATCGGTGATACAGATAAATTTAAATCTGGTTATGAAAATAGATTGCGAGCACGCGTTCTGTCTTCAATGCATTCGTCAATGGAGATCAAATATCACCATGGAATATCAAGTTATTCGTGCTTGTCCAATTTGCAAAACATCAAGTCATTTTATTACCCCAAGCACTACCTGGATCACAGATCGTTCCGAGAAGCAAAGGGTGATCAACGAATACAAACGAAAGTGCAGGTAAATGGGAATTAAGTTATCTTATGTGTTTATCAAGCATCCAAATATAAATTAAATTTTTTTTATAGTACAATTCCATGCAGAAATTTTAATTATGGGGAAGGGCAATGTCAATTCGGCATTTCTTGTTTTTATGCACACACCTATCGCGATGGAACAAAAGAAGACATTCATTTTCGCACTATTCAAAATGGAGAAGAAGTTAAGGTCCTAGATAATGTTCGATTATGGGATTTCATGGAAGATTTTACCAACAAGTGTATGGTGTCTGAGAATTATAATAATGTACTTGATGTCGTTGTTAATGATGATAACGATAAATTATTGAATAGAATGGAGATCAATAACATGACTCCAAATAATTATGATAATAATGACACTGATGGATCAGCAGATACCCCTACAATTACATCGAGCTTATCTGTCGATTCGCCAGTTTTCATTCCTTTTGGTAATAGAACTGAAAATTGACTCAGCCGAGAAAAGAGTTAATAATATTATCGGAGAAATAAAATATAACAAGAGAATGATCTTTTTTTTTTTAAAAAAAAAAAATTAATTAATTAGGCTTGTGTATGCGATATAAGATGCTTATTACATGCCCAAAAGTAGTTTCATTAGTCAGATTTATAACAAAAACGTGGGGAGTCAAATCAAAAAGAATTTAATGTATAAAATTTGATTTCTTTTTGCTATATATATTATATATACAAGTATATTTATCTGACAAAATCATTATGAAAACCTTTGGCATTTTAAATATATATATATATATTGATTAGTAAAATATAAATGTTTGATATAAAATAAAAAAAATTAAAAATAATTTTATATAATTTTAATACTTTTTTTATTATTAAGCTTATAATGATAGCAAATAACAGTTAAAATAAAAATAAAGATAATATATTATTTTTATTATGTATAAAAATTATTTTAAAAAAATTTATATTATGATTTTATAGAATCCTAAAAATCTATAAAATTAGTAAAAGTTTTAGCAATTAATACCTTTTTAAAGAATTAAAAATCAATTATATTTATTAATTTGAAATAAATTTAATTTAAAAAAAAAAACTTTAATTATTAAATATTAAAAAACAACAGATTTTATTAGTGAATATTAAATAATATAATAAAGAATATTAATAATTTTAAGTGATCTTAAAAGGCTCAAAAATTATTTTTACAAATTATAATATTTTTAATAAGCTACTTAATAAAATATATAATAAACCTTTTAAAATTTCAGAATTTCTTAAAATTTAAATTTTAAAAATTAGGATCAAGTTTTTAGTATTGGTCTTATACTTAGTAATCCTATTAAAATTATCAATTTTAAATATTATTTCGCTTTTTATAAATTAATTATAAATATTTATAACATATTTTTTTATGCAGATTATTTATTAAAAATAATTAATTAAACTTTTCTAGAAATAGTAATTTCTTAAATTATAAAGATCGGTTAAGAATCACTTAATATTCTAAATATAATATTTGATTTAATATTTGAATTAAATAATTAAATTTTAAATTGAATTACTAAAGGTAAAAAATATTTTAATAACTTAATATATACTTCTAAAAATTGCTAATTAACATAAGAATTTTTTTTTAATATTTATATTTTTATTTTAATAAAAGTTATTATAATATTTATGAATTTGAAAAATTAAAAATAATTAAATGTGATATTATATGTAAATTTTAATATATAGATAGTTTTACTATAAAAATATAATTTTTTATAAATCACGTGAGTTAAAGTGTTCTGAATTATGCTGCAGCATAATATATGCATAATATTAAATTTAGTATATAATATTATGCTTTTGTATAATTAGAAATTTCGCATAAATCATATAATCACATAATTCGCAGTAATAATCTCAATTTTTATTAGTTATTAAGATCTTTAATTATTAATCTTTTATCAGATGCTAACTATTTTAATAAATTCAATCAATCATAACCATACAAAAAAAAGTACATTTGACAATTATTTTAAATTTAAAAAACATAAAAAATATTCAAAATAGTGATAATAATTTACAAAAGACTTTAACTGAAACTATTCAGCAATTTATGTCTGATAAAGATCAAATTATAATTAAAATTTTAATGAAAGCAGACATTCCATTAGAAAGATAGGTAAATTACTTTTATTTTTGTTTAAATATTCTTCAAAAGATATATAATTTTAATTAAATATTATATTTAATAATAATAATATATATTTTTTTAATAATAAATAATTTTTAGGTAATGCTATTATAAAATTAAACTAACAAAAAGAAAAGTATTTACCTATTGTTTACAATTTGCAAAAGTAACAACTAATCAATTAATTAAAAGAAAAATATATTAGCATTACAGTTAATGAATCAACTAATATTTGTGAAAGATTAGCTGTAAATATTTTATTTAGTTTTAAAAACTATACAAAATTAGTTGTAACTAATCATCTTGCTATAGTAAATAATATTACAATTTCCTAACTTATTATTAAAATCTTAATGATTATTTAATTTCTTTTGAAAACATTATTTTATTTATTTTAAATAATGTTGCTTATATATTAAAATCCTTTAAAAATCTTTTTATTATTATATCTCAAATAAAACATAATTATTGTTTAGCTCATATTTATAATTTGGTTAAGAAAACTTGAATTGAAAATCAAAATTTTCATATTGTTAATGATATAGTTTCAAAGATTAAACTTCTTTATTTATTTTCAGCATAAAAAAGTAGATGGTTTAATTATTTTACTTTAAATTTTATTGAATTTCCTACTTTATCTTCTTTAATTTAAAATAATTTAAATTTATCTATTAAATCTACTTTACCTTCTCTTCTTGTTAAAAATAAGATGAAATTCATGATTTAATTTTATTTTTTGAATTAAAAAATATCTTTTATATTCAGCATTTTTTTTTCTTAAAAAAAAATAATATTTGTGATAATAAAGCAGTACAAAATATGTATAATTATTTTAACAATACCACATATATAATAACATTTGAAATATTTATTGATTTTATTCATTTTAATACTCAAAGGTATGATTGTTTATTTATTTTAATAAATTTTATTATTAATACTAATAAATAATTAATTTTATTTTTAGATTGATAATTGATTTAGAATTCTTTAAGATTCATAAGTAATTTATATCTTTATATGTAACTTTACGTGTAAAAGAAATATATGCATTATAAAATCTGAAATAATATATTTATTATTATCAAAAAAAATGAAATTAAAATTATAAATAGAACAAGTTAATGTTAATTATTTTACAGATATTTTTATTAATGCTTTTAAAAATGTATTACAAAAATTTAAAAAATATATTTTAAACTATTTAGTTTTATCACTTTTTAAAACTATTTAATATTTTGATTTAAGGTATATTTATTTTCAAGTAGAAAGAACTAATATTTTATTATATTCTATTATACTTAAATTTTAAATTCCAAATTTAAATTTAATTCAAGAATAATGAATTTACTGTAATAATAATGAAATAATTAATTCAGAGAAGGATTTTGATTTAAAAAATTATTGGATAGAAAAAAAATATCTTACTAACATTAGCTAATATAGCATTAATTATATTTGCCTTCCAGTTTCAGATGTAGATGTTAAATATAGTTTTTCTATTTACAAAAATATTTTAAATAATAGAAGATATCAATTATTTAAAGAATCTATTATTATATTAAATTTATTTCATTTAATAGTAAAAATTAATAAGATATAATTAGATAGATTGGTCTTATAATTGTTATAAATAAAGTTTTTACAATTTCAGTATATTAAATAAATCCTTTTTAAATTATAAATTAATTTAATAATTTTGTCCAAAATTATAAATGCATAATTTAACATAATTTATTTTATTATATACAGTATATATAATTTAGTATTTATGTAGCATAATTTTAGATACTCTAATATGAGTTTATACAAATATCTAAAAAGAAAACTTATATAACTGATTTTAAGACTTAAACTTAAATTTTACTAGAAGACAAAATTGCCTTTTTGACATTATGTAATATTTCATAATTTTATAATTAATTTACTGTATGTAAAGTAATTTAAATATAATACCTTGTAACTGTTAATGTTTTTAAATATATAGATATAGATTATCGTTTAATTATAATAAATATATATTTTTACTTTCTAATCAATTACATTTTTGATTTGTTTATAAAAATAAATTATATTTGAAAATTAAAATTAATTTTGATAAGTAATAAAATTTTGATAAAAAAATAGATAATTTATATATGAGGACCTGTACAGTAAAACCTGGAGTTACATCGATCACGTAATTTTAAGAAAATTGAGGTTTAAATTAACTGATCAATTTTGATGATTATTGCAAAATAAAATAATTTTTCAAAAACGGCCTTCATAATATAGAATAAAATTTTGCACATATATAATTGAAAATATAAGCTTCTATTTTCTTCTTTTATACGTATTTTTTTTATTTGGCAATAAAATTTGTATATTATATATTTTTAATAAAGTTAATAATTATTTTGTAAAAAAATGAACTTTCTGAAAACTTTATTTTTTTGAGATTTCAATGTTTGAAAGTATTAAAAAAATAATAATAATAAATAGCAATATCAGTAATAGTAAATGAGCAAAAAAATAGTCTTATTTTATTTGATTATATTGTAGAATTTCAAATCTAATTACAATAATTTAATTTAATTTGTTTCACGTTTCTTTTAGCTTAGGACAAACAATATCACAATTTGAATTTTTAATAAAAAACATATTTTTTAGTTCTATTAAAGCAGCCAATATACAAAGGGTCTCCAAAAGTTTACATACACTTTTTTTGTACGAATTTACTCAAAATTTTATTAAAAAATTAAGCAATTTACAAATAATAAATAATATTTCTAGACTATTAAAATATATATTTTATTAAGGTTTAATATTTGGTCAGACCACCATTTGCATTTATTACCACCTGAATTTATCGAGGCATACTTTTAACTTAATTTTCAATTTTTTCAAAAGTAATTGATTTCCAAGCCTTTCGCACTTGTTGTTCAAGTAAGGAAAGATTAGTAGGCTTTACTTTTCAGCTTCAAAGAATTTTTTTAATTTTATTCTATAGATTTTTGATCAGGTTAAGGTCGGGCTTTGAGTAGGCTATTTAAGGGTTCAGATATTTTTTTTTGCACGAAATTCTGCAATAATTTTGCTTTTGTGATAAGGAGCATTGTTTTCTTGAAAAATACCATCTCCATTTAGAAAAAATCACTTTATAGTAGGGATAACATGCTTGCATATAGTTTCAAGATGCACTGCACCATTTATAAAACTAACTAAAGGGACAATTGGCCCTAATCCTTGTGCAGAAAAATATACCTAAAACATCCGATTTGAACTGTGCTTCACTATCGCTGAAACACAAGCAAGTAACTATTTTT